ATAACAAGGTGTAGAGCTGGATGAACACAGCAGGCCAAGCAGCATCAGAGGAGCAGGAAGGCAGATGTTTCTGGCCTAGACCCTTCTTCAGAAAATTCTTTATGAGCATCTTTTTTGCATTTGATAAATTGTATTTCAGGAACTGTTCTTAGGTTCCTCCATTTAATGGCTCACCAACTACTGCCAAGGGTAGTTATAAATTCATAATAATAACTGAACTAATTACAAAGTCTGCACATTCCTGAAAATCATGTTAGCTACATCCCAACCCATTATCTACTACAATAACAAGCATTTGTTTGAGGCTGTCTGTAGCTGTTCAAAACCTGCAGTGTTGTGTCTTATTTACAGGAAGAGCTGCCAAACCTAAGATTTTTAATTTCCCAAAAGAGTGAAAAGCTTGCATTTATAATACCTTTAAAGTACTAAGAACAGGAGTAAGTCACCATAGTCCCATAAGGCTGGTCTCTCATTAGAGAGATATGGCTGATGGTGAGTTTAACTTGAGGGTCACAAACCTCAGGCAAGGTTGAAAAGGTTAAGTCTTTCGTAGTAATCTCTGCCAGTGTGGGAATTGAAACCGTGCTATTGGCAACACTCTGCATCACAAACCAGCAGTTCAGCCAACTGAATCTGACTCGCCCTTTACAGTAGGCCATTCAGTCTATCAAGTCTGCTCTACCATTCAATTTGAACAGATGTTTTGCATCAGATTTCACAGTAGACAATATAGATAACATCCCAGAAAAGGTTGTAAATCAGAAAGTGGAATGGAGTTTTTTGACAAAGTAACTTCTGCTGTAAATAAGGTAAACTGGTATTTGTATTCTACTTAGATTTTAAGAAGGTGTTTGATGAAGTGCTACATTCAAGGTTATTGAAGAAATTGACTTCAGTGTAGGGCATATTGGCATTGATGGAAGATGGATGAGGAAACAGGAAGTTGGCATAAATGGCTGGCAAGATTTTGCCATCTAAATGACTTAGATGAAGGGACAAAAGATATGGTTGCCAAGTTTACTTGCAAATAAAAAATAGGTAGGAAATTAAAGTATGAAGCTGACATAAGGAAGCTACAAAGTTAAATTGAGTTGGCAAATGACGTATAATGAGGACAAATGCAAAATTGTCCATTTTTAAGTAAGAATAAAGAAGGTGTAGGGTGATAGCTAAATGGCGATTGCAGAGCTCGAAGATGCAGAAGGATCTGGGTATCCTCGTGCATGAATCGCAAAAGGTTAATATGCAGATGCAGCATGTAATTAGGAAAGCTAAGGATGTAAATGTGAAGGAGGCCATTCAGAGAATAATTACTCATGTAGTACCTGGAATGGGTGGTTGTCTTCTCAGGAAAATTTGAATTGGTAAAGCATGTAATTCCTGGAGGTCAGTAGAGTAGGAGGTAATTAGATTGAAACATGTATGATCCTGAGAGACCCTGTCAAAGTGTACAGGATGTGGAAAGGATAGTTTCTCTTGTGGGAGAATTAGAACTCATGGTCACTGTTTAAGAACAAGGGAATGCCCATTTAAGACAGAAATGAAGAAATTTTTCTTCTTTCAGAGGGTCGTGACTCTTTGATGCTCTTTTGCTGAAGAGGCAGTGGTAGCAAGGTCTTTGAATTTTTTTCAGGCAGCGGTAGGTAGATTCTTAACAGACAAGGGGTGAAAAGTTATCAAGTTTAGACTGGAATAGGGAACAATCAAATTTGCCATGATCTCCTTGAATGGTGGAGCAGGCTTGAGGGGCTAAATGCCCTATTCCTCCTAATTTGAGAGTGTGAATGTTCATGTAATTAAATCATGGCTGCATATCAACCTCAACACTATTTCCCCACACATTCTCCTTACCCTTTGACGCCATTTACCCAGGATATTTTTTTGTGAAAATGCTCAAAGGCCTTTAAAAGGTTATTATAAAAATGAATTATGTTTCTGGATATGGTTGTAACTAACAGCTACGGATATGATCATCAGTAAACTGCAACAAAACAATAGGCACGGCAAGAATGGTTATCCAATCAGCACTGAAATGAGGAAGTGAGTTTGTGGAATACTCTCCCACAGGAAGCTGTTGGGGCCAGTTCATTAGATATATTCAAGAGGGAGCTGGACGTGGCTCTTGCAGCTAAAGGGATCGGAGTATGGAGAGAAAGCGGGAATGGGATACCGAAATTACTTGATCAGCTATGATCGTATTGAGTGGTGGTGCAGCTTTGAAAGGTCGAAGGGCCTACTGCTGCACTTGTTTTCTTAGATTCCAGATGCAAGGTACCAGTTGAGGATTTAAAGACATAAATCAAGTAGAATATTTTTCTTATCTAGGCAAGCTAATAATATCTGATCGGAAAAGTGATCAGGGCCCGAAGCAAATAATGTTTGCCAAACAAACCATCACAAAATATTACGCCTTTGGAAAAAAGAATATTTCCACGGAAAGCAGAATTAGATTATTAAAATACAACATCTGGTCAACTTACAAATTGGGTGCAACAGTTGTAATATAAGGCAGACAATGGAGGATAAATTAAAGGCAAAGGAGATGTTGTTTCTGAGATGTAGGATGAAGATTAGTTGGACAATACATAATTAATATGGATGCTTTGAAGAAAGCAGAACACAAGAAGAGCATTTACAAACGACCCCCAGTAGACTGCTATAATTCCTTGTGCACGTACTTAGAAGAGATGAACTAGAACATCTCTTAATGACTGGTAAAACTGAACAGAGAGAGAAAGAGGGAGACTGTAGTGATTGGAACCAAGTTGCCCTCATTGATGATGAGGTCATTGATTGGGTTTGTTAACTTTGGTCAATCAGGAAAGCCCTAGATGACTAGCATAACCAGGAGATAAGAATCTCCTCAGTTCAGGAACTGACTCTGAGCTGTCTGGCCACAACCAGTGTACTGTGCACTAGTAAATAAAGGGTGACTTGGGGACGTGACACCGGCATCTGTGCAGTTATTTCAGTGGCGACAAGAAGAAACAGGACGTGCCTGAAGAACATTCGCTTGCTACAGTCTTCTTAGAGTTGGGATAAGCATCTCTGGCAACATGCCTTTATTTGGGAAGCTTGACTCATTTGATCCTGCTGTCGAAGACCGGGGCCAAATTTTGGAAAGAATGCAACATTTTTTCAGGGTGAATACCACTGGGGCAGATGAAAGCAATGAGTAATCCTTCTGACTGCCTGCGGACCCGCATCATTCTCAGTCATAAGGACCTTAACTTTCCCGGAGGCACCAGACACTAAAACCTGCCAAGAGTTAATGGAGCTGGTTAAGGAATATTATGATGCTAAACCTGCTCTAATTCCGAGACACTATCGGTTTTATTTGGCTGTTAGAGAACCAGGGAAGCCCGCATCAGGATTTTCGACGAAGTTACGACGACTGGCAGAGGCATGTGATTTTGGATTAACCCTAAATGAGATGAGAGACCGTTTGGTATGTAGGATTAATGAAGTAACCATGCCAAAATGCCGACAACAGCGGAAGCCCAGCTGGACTTCAGACAGGTACTGCAGCTGGCCTTGCCATTAGAAAATGCAGCAAGTGGAGTATGGGAACTACAGCACATCCCAATGGAAGTGAAACCCTCACCTGTCCAACTGAGTTTGGGGAACACTACTTGAGCGTAGGTAATCACAGAGCCTCAGGGCTTGTCCTGAGCAGAAGGAACCTAGGCCAGCTCACAGCAGAACCCCACAACATAGCTGTACCTTGAGCCAAGTGGCTCAAATGCTCTCCAGGTTCTGGGCTAGCAAGCCATTGTAGTTGCTGCTGTTATGCAAACTCACAATAGTAAAAGATTCCTACAAGGCCTGACTTGACTAAGAAAACTTGTAGGCCGGCACCCAGGAGAGTGCACACCCTGGAAAGACCCCCCTACATGTGGGTTGGAACAAGTAAATTGCTTAGGGACAGCCAAATCAGAACTGATTAAAATTAATGTTTTGTTTTGTTAAATGGTCACCCAGTTCCCATGGGGTTGATACCAGTGCACCTGTATCTGTGGTTGCAGTCTCTGCCTTGAACAAGATTCACTCAGGACTCCAACCTTTAAGTTTGCACAAGACCTCAGCCAGACTGAGAACATACACTGCGGAACCGTTGCAGATTAAGGGTAAGACTTTGGTTCCAGTCTCCCATGAGAAACAGTTGGTGCAGTTACTACTGATGGTAGTAAAAGGCTCAGGCCCAATCCTATTGGAGTGGAATTGGTTACTAGAGGTACTCTAAACCAGTGCATGAAGGGTTTAAAATCAAAGCTGGGAAATGAATAGGGTAAGTAAAACAGCAAGTGAATTTATAGTAAGAATATCAGCCCAGAGCACTTCCAATTAAGCGTAGATTTCATGAAAGGGCATTCGATATTCTGTGAGGTGGGCGATTAGAATTGCGACTTAATATATAAAAATGTAAACAAATATAGTTAAATTATTACTGCAAAAGTCTAAAACATATAATTAAATTTAAGTAAAAATATTGTTACCTGGATGTTAAAAAATTGATACAGTGAAAAATCGGAACTTGAAAACCTCTTTAGTTAAATAATGACAGGGCAGGTGATGCGTTGCAGCTGGAGCATGAGGGAGTTGGTGGATACTAGTCCAGTTCACAGAAATACCTATGTAGTAAGTGTTTGGAGCTCAAGAAATTCTGACTCACCATTGATGAACTGAACTCCAAGCCTCAGACACTGTGATGCTGGGCACTTTATTTTTCCAATAAATATACACAGACCTTAGTTTAAGTGCATCTGATACAGTGAGTAGCCTGGTGCAGGAAGTTGTGATAACATACGAGACAGGAAAGAGAATCGACAAGCTTCTAAGGGAAAAGCTTCAACTTTTGCCTTTGCCCAGTAGGTACAAGGTTTTGGCAGCCAGTTAGAACAGGAGCTCAGGGCTGGAGATGACCTTGGAGTGAGACAGGAAAGGTCTGTGGTCTACTTGTTTACCAGCAGCATAGATAAGACTAAGATTAGGAGGCAGAACCACAAAGGTAATACTCTCCTGATCGCTACCTGAGTCACAAGGAAAGTGGCATAAATTACATAAAGTTGGAAAACTCAATGTGTGGTTCAAAGGTCAGTCTGGCAGAAGTGGGTTTTGACTGATATGCCACTAGTACTGAAAAAGAAGGAGATGTTCTATTCAATAGCCTTCACCTGCACTGGATAGGGACCAGTGTCCTATCTAAATTGTATAACTACAAATGCAAATAGGGCTTTAAACTAAAGTGGGGCTGAGGGGAGCAGTGTTTACATGAACAGAGATTTAGAAGGTCAAAGGACAAGACAGTAGTGAAGGGTAGAGATCTAATGATAATCAGGAAGTGACCAGAAGGACTGCAGTCAATATGCATCAGAATGCACCAACAAATAGTGTCACAGTGGGGAAAATAATAATTAAAATCTGAATGCGTACAGAATTCATAACAAGTTAAATGAAACAGTAATCAGATGTATAAAATTTAAGAAAAAATAGAAGTTGGCACAGTTCAGAACAACGGTATTGCCTGTTTCAATCTCATCCTACATAAATGTTTGTTCAAGGGACAGGGAATGACTTTAGAATTATGAATACATTTGGAAATGAAAGCTGCTACAACCATCATTTTAACACAGTCCGAAAGAAGTACAGTAGAAAGCTTACCTGTTCTTAACTTACCACCAATAAATCGACTGTGTAGATGATTTCCTAAGTTTGGTCTTTGAGATGAGAATAGAAATTGCTGGAAAATCTCAGCAGGTCTGGCAGTATCTGTGGAGAGAAATCAGTGTTAATGTTTCAGGTCGAGTGATCCTTCCTTGGGAGTGACCCTTCCTGAGGTCACTTCTGATAAAGGGTCACTAGATCCGAAATGTTTACTGTGATTTCTGTCCACAGATGCCTTTAGACCGGCTGAGCTCTTCCAGCAATTTATGTATTTGTTTCCGATTTATTGCATCTGCAGTTCTTTCGGTTTTTATTTGATCTTTGTGATATCTGTGTCTTAGGTATAGAAATTGTTGTTTGGTCAAACAGAACTTGCCTTTAGTGAGAAAAGACACATTTTGTCAAGACTTTTTGTCTTGCACTCATTAGGACATTTGCAAGAATACTTATGTAAAGTGGAACAATTACAAACAGGCAATTTGGTGAAGGGTACCAGTACAAATAAGTGTGTTTGGATTTCCAAAAGGTGTTTAGGAGCTATATAATAAAGTTACTGCAGAGTATTGGGGAAAATATATGAGCATGGATAGAGGATTGGCTAATTAATAGGAAACAGACAGCTGGGATAACTAGATCATGTCAAGGCGACAAAGTGTAACTAAAGGATCAGAAATAGTAGGAACTGCAGATGCTGGAGAATCCGAGACAACAAGGTGCAGGGCTGGATGAACACAGCAGGCCAAGCAGCATCATAGGAGCAGAAAGGCTGACGTTTCGGGCCTAGACCCTTCATCAGAAAAGGGGGAGGGGAAGGGGGTTCTGAAATAAATAGGGAGAGAGTGGGAGGCGGATAGAAGATGGATAGAGGAGAGGATAGGTGGAGAGGAAACAAACAGGTCGAAGAGGCGGGGATGGAGCCAGTAAAGGTGAGTGTAGGTGGGGAGTTAAGGAGGGGATAGGTCAGTCCAGGGAGGACGGACAGGTCAAGGGGGCGGGATGAGGTTAGTAGGTAGGAGATGGGGGTGCGGCTTGAGGTGGGAGGAGGGGATAGGTGGGAGGAAGAACAGGTTAGGGAGGCGGGGACGAGCTGGACTGGTTTTGGGATGCGGTAAGGGGAGGGGAGATTTTGAAGTTTTTTGATGAGTGGCCAAAAATTTAACAGAGAACAAAATTTGAGGCTATATTCCTCAGGAGGAAGAACAGAAACATAAAGTATTAATTAAGTGGAGTGAGAGTACAGAATGCTGTGATAGTTAGGGATCTGAGTGGCTTCCGACCTAAAATGCCTATCCTCTTTTCATCATGGAGCAGAGACTTTAAAAAGGATTTGAATAGTGGCAAAGAAATACATCGTAACCCATCAGATTCTTTTGAATAAACAATGAAATACAGTCACACTTCAAAAATGACTGTCAAAGTAACAGTCCAGGTAAAATGGAATCACTGTGATTTTCGTCTTTTAGTTCAGGCTGAAATTTTATTTACAGAAAAATGATATTACAACGATCAGTGGTAGTCACCATTAGACTAGCATTTTTTAGTGCCTTTTCATTGATTCAAACCCACACCTCAGAGCATTAGCCTAGATCTCTGGATTACTCGTTCACTGACAATACCAGTATACCCATAAATTAGCAGTAAATGAAACAAAACTGTGACATGAATTTGTCCCAGTCATTAATTGGTGCTGGGTCTATAATGCTTGTAAGCATAAATGTGAATATTATGAACATGAGGAAAGGTTGGTTTTACCTAACAACATCAATAAAGTGTCCACGATGATCGGTATTATTTTTATTCAAATTGGTCTCTGATCATCAGTCAATACAAATGTCTATTTATTTTCACCCTCCAGACGCAGTGTAGATTCAGATTGCAGTGATGGTGAAGAAGACTTCTACTACCAAGAGATTAAACTGAACACTGATTCTGTGGCTGAGGGTTTGGGTAGCCTTTCTCCAGTGTCGCCATCTGTGGCCTCACCACCCGTGCCCTGCAGCCTGGATGCAGGACGATCTGATGCCAGGGTCACAAAAACTGAGGCCAAACCTGCCACTCCACTGAGTCGGTCGGCACCAACATGCCTCTACCTCATTCACACTGACCACGCTTATCAGGTAACTACGGGGTGGCCTGCTGAGACTTCAGTGATTCACCACGCGATCAACCTTTTATCATAAAGGACAGGGATATGATTTAACACTGTCAATTAAAACTGAGCACCAGTTGGTGTAATTGAAGGATTTGAGCGTGTGGTCTCAATTTCCCAGCAATAATTCAACTACTCTTTCCTCAGATGGAATGAATATTTTCATGTATTAGTAACATAAAATTTACGAGCAGGAGTAGGCCATGCAGCCCTTTGAGTCTGCTCCTACCAATCATTATGATCACGGCTGATTATCCAATAGCCTGATCCTGCTTTTCCCGTTATCCTTTGTACCCTTTAGCCCCAGGTCCTATATCCAATTCCTTCTTGAAACCCTGCAGTGCTTTGGCCTCAACTGCTTTCTGTAGTTTTTTTTCCTTTATTCATTCTGGGGATGAGGGCATCACTGGCTGGGCAGCATTTATTGCCCAGAGGGCAGCTAAGAGTCAACCACATTGCTGTGGGTCTGGAGTCTCATGTAGACCAGACCGGGTAAGGATGGCAGTTTCCTTCCCTAAAGGGCATTAGTGAACCAGATGGGTTTTTCCCCAACAAATGACAATGGATTCTCGTTCATCATTAGATTCTTAATCACAGATATTTATTGAATTCAAATTCCACCATCTGCCATGGCAAGATTTGAACCCGGGTCCCCAGGACATTATTTGGAATCTCTGAATTAACAGTCCAGTGATAATACCAGTAGGCCATCACCTCCCCTTGTGGTGATTAGTGAATTCCACAGGCTCACCACTCTTTGGGTGAAGCAATTACTCCTCATCTCAGTCCTAATCGGTTTATCCCCTGTCCTTAGCCAGTGACCTCTGGTTCTGGCCTCCTCCACTATTGGGAACATCTTTCCTCATCTACCTAGTCCAATCCTTTTAGAGCTTTATAGATTTCCCCTCCAGCCTATACTTCTGAACTCCAGTGGATATACACCTAAATGATCCAGGTTCTTGCTGCGTGACAGTGCTGCCATCCCAGGAATCAATCAGCCAGAACATTCTTTCTCAGATAAGGAGTTGAAAACTGAACATGATAATCCAATATGGTCTTACAAATACCCTGTACTGTTGCAGTGAGACATCCCTGCTCCTATTCTCAAATCTTTCTGCTACAAAGGCCAACATACCATTTGCCTTCTTCATCACCTACTACACGTGCCTGCTTACTTTTAGCAACTGGTATTGGAGAACACCCAGATCTCGTTGCACATCCCCTTTCCCAATCTTTCACCATTCAGATAATAATCTGCCTGCCTATTTTTGCTGGCAAAGTAGATCACCTCGCATTTATTCACATTATATTGCATCTGCCATGTATTTGCCGTTTACTTAACTTGTCCAACTCACAACTGCAGCTCCTCTGCATTCTCCTCACAGTACACCCTCGCACCCAGCTTGGTGCATCTGCAAACTTGCAGTTGCCTCATCTAAATCATTAGCATATATTGTGGATAGCTGGGATCAAAGCACTCAACGCCACACTAGCCCACTAGTCACTGCCTGCCACTCAGATAATGACCTGTTTATTCCTGCTGTTTGTTTCCAGTCTGCCAACCACTTCTTAATCCGTTTTAGTATTTGTAACAATCCATTTCATGTATTTTAATTTTATGTGCTAATTTTTCTTGTGGGATTTTATCAAAAGCTTCTGAAAATCCAAGTAAACCACATCCACTGGCTCCCCCTTATCCTTATTAGATTCCCCCTTACCCCACCCCCTTACTAGTTACATCCTCAAGACATTCCAGCCGATTTGTCAAGCATGAGCAGAAATGCCTTCCCCTTCGTAAATCTATGCTGACTCTATTGAATCTTGTCACAATGACCAAATGCTCTGCTATTACATCTTCTATAATGGACTCCCCGTTCCAATGTCAAGCTAACTGGTTTATAATTTCCTGTTTTCTCTCTGCCTGTTTTCTTAAATAGTGGGGTCACATTAGCCACTTTGCAATCCATAGGAACTGTTACTAGTGTTTGTCCCTTGTTTCATGTGTGGCTGTTACTTTAAGCATACAAGTAGTGGGAACTAAGAGAGGTTGATTTGAACACAATACTCCTGCAGTTCATTCCGTAACATATTGTGGCATGTGTAAGATAATTTTCATAAGTTTGTTCTATGCTCTTTTACTTTACTACAACACTTGCTTCAGCCTCTGTTACATTTATGTGGAACATCTTTAATAACTGTTCCTTCATGTCGATATATTTCCTGAATGGCTTACCTTACAGTATTGTTCATGCTTCATCTTTGTACCCTTTATAAATCAAGTCATTTCCCTGGACATTTGCCAGATTCCTTGAGTTATTGATGCTACACACATTTACTCACGAGTAAATTGCTGTTATCAGTTATTTCTTAGCAGAGTTAAGGATAATTTTCCCTCACTAAAAATCAATTTGAAGTGTTCCATTAGAGCACTTGCCAGAGCAGCCAGGGGCTAGATTGAAAATTAACCTTTTCCTTATGGCATTGTAATCCCAATGCAAGGATAATGTAGAACAGCTAAATAGTATCCAAAAACCATTACACAATTGTTATGAATGGTTGTTCATGTTCCATTAACACAAACAAAATCTCATTCTAGCATTTGCACCTTTCCACACTGTCATCCAGTCAGTTTCCAAGAAAGTTAACAAGTTCCAGCATGGAATTTGGAACTCACTGAAAACATACAGACCACAGATGTTTCTCCACTTTATCAATTCATGCACTAATGATCCTTCTTAGCATTGAATTTGTATCGTTCCTCTCCCTGTCTGCATCCTGTTCTTGCTTTCTAGGCCTGCATCCTAGGGGTATTGAAAGACGTGGCACCAGAGTTAATAGATGCACTGGTTATAGATTTCCAAAATTCCTTACATTCTGTAAGGATGCCAGCAGATTGGAAAATAGCTAATGTAACCCTCTTATTCAAGAAAGGAAGGAAACAGGAAACTATAGGCCAGTAGGGAAATGGTCGAGTTTGGAATAATGTCTCTGCCTGCTCCTGCCCCACTGGACTCATCTCTGCTTACCTCAGCTCCGTTTTATCCCCCCGGTCCAGGAACTCGTCACCTACAATCAGGACACTACCCATGCCCTCCAAGACTTCCAATTCCCCAGCGCCAAACACCTCATCTTCACCATGGACATCCAATCCCTGTACACCTTTATCCTCCGCACAGATGACCTAAAAGCCCTCCGCTTCTTCCCCTCCCACAGGCCCAACCAGTCCCCCTCCACCAACACCCTCATCTACTTAATGGGACTTGTCCTTACCTTCAACAACTTTTCCTTTAACTCCTCCCACTTCCTACAAACTAAAGGGGTGGCTATGGGTACCCGTATTGGTCCGAGCTATGGCTACCTCTTCGTAGTGTATGTGCAACAGTCCCTTTTCAACTGTTACACTGGCGCTATGCCCCACCTCTTCCTCCGCTATAATTGATGGCTGTATCGGCGCTGCCTCGTGCTCCCACGAGGTGCTTGAACAGTTCATCACCTTTACTAACACCTTTCACCCCAACTTCAAATTCACCTGGACCATTTCCGATACCTCCCTCCCTTTCCTGGACCTCTCCATCTCCAACTTCAGGAACTGTCTCAGCACCGACATCTATTTTAAGCCCACCAACTCCCACAGCTACCTGGACTACACCTCCCTTCGCCCACCTTCCTGCAAGAATACACTTCCTTACTCTCAATTCCTCTGCCTCTCCCGCATCTGCTCCCAAGATTGGACGCTCCACTCCCTGATATCCCAGCTGTCCTCCTACGCCAAGGACCGCAACATCCCCCCTCTGTTGATTCATAATTCCCTTAACCACATCTCTTGCACTTTCCATACTTCTGCCCTCAAAACCCCTCCCCCCAACACAAATAAGGACAGAGTCTCCCTGGTCCTCACATACCGCTCCACCAACCTCCACATCCAGCGCATCATCCTCTGCCACTTCCACCACCTACAATCTGACCCCACCACCAAAGAGATATTTCCCTCCCTGCCCCTATCTGCCTTCCGTAGGGACCGCTCACTACAGGACTCCCTCGTCTGCCCCACACTCCCCACCAACCCCACCACACCCGGCTCATTTCCCTGCAACTACAGGAGGTGCTACACCTGCCCCTACACCTCCCCTCTCACCTCCATTCAAGGCCCAAAGCAAACTTTTCATATCCTACAGGGGTTCACCTGTATGTCCTCCAACCTGGTCTACTGTACCTGTTGTTCCCGAAGTGGCCTCCTCTACATTGGTGAGACTAAGTGCAGAATCGGTGACCAATTTGTGGAACATCTGTGCTCTGTATGTAACAAACAACAACACCTTCCGGTTGCGAATCATTTTAACTCGCCCTCCCATTCCCTGGGTGACATGTCCATCCTGGGCCTCCTCCAGTGTCACAATGAAGCTACCCGCAAACTGGAGGAGCAACACCTCATATTCCACCTCAGGAGCCTACATCCCGATGGCCTAAACATGGAATTCACCAGTTTTAAAATCTCCCCACCCCAGGCTTCATCCCATGTCCAACCCTCTCTCTCATCCCCACCTCCTTGACCTGACACAACCTGTCCATCTTCTCTCCTACCTTTCCCACTGACCGATCTCCACTACCCTCTACCTGCATCCACTTATCACCGTCCCACCTATCTCCCCCAGTCCCAGCCCCTCCTGTATTTACTTCCTAGCTCCCTTCCCCCTCCCAATCCTGATGAAGGGTGTAAACACAAAATGTCGACTTTCCTGCTCCTCTGATACTGCCTGGCCTGCTGTGTCCTCCAGCTCCACACTGTATTGACTGAGTTGGAATAATGGGTAGGTATTCAAATTAGCATGACATGAAAGTGGTGTCCTACAGGTATCTATGTTGGGGCCTCAATTATTCACAATATTCATTAACGACTTGACTAATGGCGTGCAAAGTCAAATATCTAAATTTGCTGACGACACAAAGTTGAACAGCATTGTAGACAGTATTGACAACAGCATAAAATTGCCACAGGATATTGACAGATTAGGCTTCTGTCTCTGGTGATATTTTTCAAGGCATATAAACAACATAACCTCATTTACAGGCAATTCTTAGTAGCTGATAATTAATTTACTTCGGGTCACAACGATGTAACACCAATCGTTTCTGGATGAAAGCCACTTTGTTTTTAGAAAGCAAAGCTAAACTTTGCCCCAGTGTGAATTGACCTTTATTTAATCCAAGCTGTAACTCACAAGGCATTGTCTCTTTGTATCTGTACTGATTAAAAATATTTGTTCTTCCCGGGCAGCATGGACCTCTTAAATTACGATTTCTTCCAACAGGCCACAGCACCTGTCAACATTCCTGGGTCGAAGTTTACTCCTACCAGCAATGGATTCAGCATCTCTTGGCAATCTCCACCAGTTACTTTCACTGGCATGCCTGTAAGTAAGCAGTAAAGCCTTGAAGCAGCTAGGGCTGTCGAGACTTTGCATAAAATGCAATGCTACTTTGTAAAGTTGCTTCAAAATTATCACGCAGCTGCTATTAATAATTTGCAGTATTCTGGGAAATTTCCAGAAAACCGAACTTAAATGTTTTGTGGAATTTCCGCACAGCCTGTCCTGCTCAACAATTTCAGCAGAACATCCAGAGCAATATAAGTGGCCAAAAGCAAATAATTGTTCATTTTTCTCCAGGGATTGTGCCAGCATTATGGCAGTAGATTGGGATTTACTTGTGGCACTTGAGGGTCTAAAGTGTGGATATTCTGATCAGACAATTGATGAAACCCTCATTTAAATATGTGCATGAATGCACACACATTTCCCTGCAATTCATGTTTGGCACAGAAAGTGGTCATCATGTCTGTTTGCAAGGAACGTTCCAGGAGACAAGGTCATTGCTAACAAGGCTCACTTGCAGTCCAGATTATAGTAGATTTCTTTTTGCTGTTTCATTTTCCTTCCATTCTGTTCATCATAAGATTTTTGGTGCTAAATTTTATCCATCTGTCATGAACGTTCCTTTTGAATAACTTTGTTATTTGGAGGACAAAAGAGAGGAAGAAGACAAAGCAGATTGCTTGCACTTGACTCGTACTTTCGAACTGGCATATCCAGGTACAGGATTTATCAGAGGTGTCAGCAGTAGCTGAGATTATATTTTGGCCCTTGCATTTTATTTCTTAGGCTTATTCTTGAAGGCCTGGAGAGACATTTGCAACCTGGAACAATCCACAGTGCACAGCTTGATCAAGTAAATGGATGTTTGCTGATTTGGCAGAGTGGACTAGATTGTTATATTTCTACCAGCAGTATGAGACTTTAGTTTGCCAAGTAACATGATTCTCCAAAGACATTGGCATTGTTGGCTGGAAGCTATGTGCTTTCATGAGTTCCTACTCACATTTCCAGTGCGATGATGAACTGCAAGATCTAGCATTCCAGTTGCCAACTGGCTCAGCAGTGGCCATTGCTGTACGATTTGCTTGCCAGGCAGTAATTGTTAGGTAATGCGCAGAGTTTGTATTATTTGATCAAAAATCAAGGGTACCAGTGTTAGCTGCTAGGATGCCAAAACCACCTTCATGAGCCACTTGTCATGATACCTCTTTGCAAACAGAGCCCGATATAGTGCAGCTGACAAGATAATTATCCCCATTTGCAATAAGCATCTTCATAGAATGATGGAAATTTACAGCATCAAGGAGACCCTTCGGTCCATTGTACTCGTGCTGACAGTACTTGACAGGTATGCTTAGTACCACATCCTGTTTTTATAATCTGCCATGGTGGGATTTGAACCCAATACACTAGAATATTAAATTGGAACTCTTAATTACTCTGTCAGTGATATTAAAACTGCACCAAAGCCGCCTCCAAGTTAATCTCCAACATAAATCTGAACGATAAAGAGCACTTCTGCCAGAGTTATCGCTCAAAGAATTTACTATCGTGAAGATAGATGTACACTTTGTATAGAGTCAGACTAGCACTGTTCTTGTTGGCTAAGGATTGACTTTTGAGTTAATAGTAGGTTTGCCAACAGGGATACAAATAACCATTTATTGTTGCCCAGTACAGGCCCTATGCTGGACTTCACTCAGACAAAGCTGCCAATTAAGAATCTACCCAGATCAATAATCATCTCGGTATTTTAATTTAACTTATATGGTTAGTTTCATCAAACTAAACAGTGCAACTCTCATGAAGAATCACCTAGACACAAAATGTTAGCTTGCTTTCTCTCTATGGATGATGTCTGACCCACTATGATCTCCATCATTTGTTGTTTGCACCTTCAGTAAATTTGCCCCTACAGTGCAACATAATGTTGACCAATAGGCTGTAACCACATTCAAGTGGCAACAGCCATAACATAAATACTGTACACTTCTAGAACAATGTTCATCCCTGCCAATATTAACCAAAGCATAATGTATAAACTCATTACTTGCAGAAAAGAACAACCAATAATTGATCTCAATGCTGTGTAAATTGTGGCCAACAATATGAAAATTATACGTTAGTACTAATCATTCTAATCGTTTTCACCAGTGACTTGCTGAAACTAAATCACATGATATTTCAGATGGGTGTATCCTCAAGAGAAAGTTGTAATAGTAGGTTTCACAATATGTAGCATTAATTACATGCAATCCAAAACCCACCATTATCATTAATTCACACGGTGTATTTGGTTTTTAAATTATCACTAATGGTACAGATAAAGGCAACTTTGGATTGTCAGCATGCATATAATTACTTTACAGTATAATAATAGTTCTACTTTTTTCATTGTTCTATTTGCAAACAACACTGTTCGGTACATAATGAAGTTAAAACATAAATTGGGGTATAGTCAGGTGTATGACACATTTACCTCAGAACAGAGGTGAACACTAGGTTCCACCTTCAACATAATTCCTAATACTGTTTTTTATTCATTCATTTGATGAGGGCATCGCTGACTTGGCTAGCATTTATTGCCCATCCCTAATTGCCCAGAAGGCAGTTAAGAGTCAACCACATTACTGTGGGTCTGGAGCCACATGTAGCCCAGACAAGATAAAGGATGGCAGTTTCCTTCCCTAAAGGACATTAATGAACCAGATGGGTTTTTCCCCCAAAAATCAGCAGTGGTTTTATAGTCATCATTACACTCTTAATTCCAGACTATTATAGAATTCAAATTCCACCATCTGCCATGGCAGGACTTGAACCCAGGTCCCCAGAACATTACTTGGGTCTCTGGATTAATAGTCTAGCAATAATACCACTCGGCCATTGGCTACCCCTAATAGTACACCGATTCTAGCTCCTAACTGCTGAATTCTGCAGTTCTGATGTTTTGTACTCTGCTGTGCAAGAATTCCTGTTCAGATAAAAAATCCTACTCATTGCATAGTTCATCCTTGTTAAGGTTTGTGCATGAGAAGGCGTGAGGAAGATTATCAACAGGAATCGAAAAGGATAATGAAACAACGTGTGTGAACTGAAGAGGTAGAAAAGTGTCAGTGTAAATTGAGAGAGAAGGGTCCTTGAATTGTGAGTGAGACAGAAGGAAGAAAGATCCGTGAGCATGAGGCAGCTTGTTTTTTTTTGGTCTAGATACTGGGCAGGCAAAGACATGCTGCCTTCCACAAACTGTGTGCTCACTTACAGAAGTTGTGTTGTTGTTGAACTCCTAGGGAAAAGCCTGGTGTTGAAATCCTGCAAACAAAATGTATTGTATACCATGCTCCTGTTGTATATTGATGACTTCTGTGTAACTGAGTCAGTAAGTTAATAAAAATCAGAGATTAATAAAGGTAGCAACAAGAGACAAAGGGAAGACATTAGCTGAGTGAGAGCAGCACTTCTCTGAAATTTCATCATCGACACACCTTGGGCCAGATATGCCATGGATCGTCCCTCATTTTGGATTAAATCATTTTGCACTGTCAGCAATGCTGTCTTGGCGCTGTGATATTAAACTGAGGAATTTCAGTTCAAAAGCATTGCTGCTTGAAGAAAGAGTCAGCTCCTCAGTTTGCAGCTGAAGGCATTTAAACAGATACCAGTTAGCGCACACTTGTGGAAGCTGCAACAGCTAGTAACTGTATTCTGAGGCTGCCAGATCAGGGAATAAAGCACAGCCAAGGCCTGTGTGGGTGACAGATCATCAAACTTGGGCAGAAAGGGAACAGGGAAGAATTGGAAATCAATCGAGGTGTGATCGGATGTCAGAGCTTCAGCAGTAAGTTAGACCCTTAAGGGAAAAAGTAGAAAACTTACCAGAACGTGCAAAAACACAGTGGTTTTAATGAGATTAGCCAGCTGGACCTCGTGTTTTAAAATTTTGTTAACCTACTTTTCTAATCAGCCTGTTCAGAGATGTTATTATGCACCTCTGGAGCAGATGGGAGTTGAATGCGGCCGTCCTGGTCCAGCGGTAGCGATACCACCACTGTGCCACAAGAGGACTGACTGGACTTCATAGAACATGAGTTCCCTGATTGGGGCTGTTAATCCGGCATAATCAGGGAGCCCTCGCTGACAGATAAAAAAAAGGGTGAGCATTAGGGATACTGACACCCTGGTGCCCAGGCTCTGTATGAGGCATTACTATAGTTGAGGACTGTTCATGTCCAAATAAATAGTGACTTGATGATGGGATACTGGCTTCTGTGGAGACTAAAAATACCCCGAGATGACAGTTAAAAGCACCATTGCTGTCTGGGTGTCATAAAAGATACAACTGCAAAACTTAAAACAGGACCATAACTTTGTTTTGAATTCGGGAATGTTGGAAACACGTTGTTGAGTCCACTGCAGAAGATAATTAAGATGAGTAAAGTAGAGGCAAGAAAATATATGCATTGGAAAACTGGAATGTTTTAATAAAAAAGAATAAAATTTAATAAAATAATAGAAAAAGCATGAATGGACCATTTTGTTACTGGGGTAGGGAGGTTCAGATCAGCCCAACAAAATAGGAAAAGAGCACTGACCCTTCATTTTATTCTCAACGGTGGGAACTTCCCAAATAAAGAAGCTGTAAAGACATTCCTAAAACCAGGACAGTTAATTAATACTGCAGCAAAAAAATATTTAATAGAATTTATAAGCTTGGAAATGTTTGAAGCCATTTTAAAGGCTTCATTAGAAGAATATTTCTTCATTGCTTAATCGTAAAACTCTAAAGAATTTTTAGACAGAAGTGCTTTGAAAGACAAATGATATCAGAGGCAGAGCAGTAAATCACTATTGTACAATTAAGTTTACATGATCCCTTGTATGGAGGGATTGTCTCATGAGCAAAGGTTAAACAGGTTAGGACTGTACTCACTGAAATTTAGAAGATTGAAAGTTGACCTCGCTGAGATATATACGATTCTTAAGGGGGTTGACAGAGTACATGCTGAGAGTCTAGAACCAGAGGGCATAGTCTGAAAATAAAG